CCTCACACAGGTAGCATGTCGGAAATAGCAACAGTGCTACTGTGGCGATCTCAGAATATTCAGCCATAACTTTAATCCAGTTGTCTCGAACGTACTTTTAAGGCCGCCGTCATTTGCGCTCTCCAGCAGTTTTATTACTCATTTTGCGAGCTCTAGCGTTTTGTTTTTAGCGTAATCGGTCACGTGACGAAGAAGCGCGGCTTGACGTGTGTCAAGCGTGACACAGACGGATGTAACGGAGAATCCGGTAATTTTTCAAAATAAAACATCTTTCGTATTCCGAAATAAATAAAACGGAATTAAGGCAAGTTCTTTCTGTGCGGCCCGGTACCAAATGCCCTGCGGACCGGTACCGGTCCGCGGACCGGCGGTTGGGGACCCCTGATCTAGTGTACATGCATTACTCTTTGCAGTGTATCCCTACCTTTATTGAACCAAGGCACGTTTTACGTTGGAAAAATCTCACCGCATACCACTTGAGTGCCCCAAAAAGTAGCACTGGGCGATTATGCGGAGGAGGAAAACTTGTCATGATTATTTTCATTGATATCGAAATGATAATTAAGAAGCATGATTCTTTATTGATTTCAAAATATTATTTGTTTATTCATATTTATTTAGCTACCATAATTAAAATTTAAACATAAATTGAAAGAACAACACGGAAATGAATTAGTAACAAAGTGAAATAATAATAGACTTTTGAAAGTGCTCTATAAATACAGTTGAGTTGACTTGAGTTGAGTAAATCAATGAGTAACTATAAAAAAAATAAATAAAAATTAAGACTGGCTGTTCCTGCAGTGCGCATCTTGGCCTCCGAGGGGCCATATGGCGCTGTGCATGCATAGAGTACACACATTAAGATAAGTAAGAGTAGAAGAAGAAAATTGCGATTGAGATCGGTATGGTGTATGTGGCCGAAATTGCAGTGCTTCCACCCGTCGATAATATCACCGTGAGCGAATGTGTGCAGGTTCGTTTGTTTGATTGTTTCGGCTTAGCAGTCCATTTAAGAGGAATGTGGGTCCAAGTCATCTTGAGAATGTGGAAAAGTGGCTGAGAGAATCCAAGGGTCTTTATCTCCTGGGGGTTGGGGTGGGGAGGGGCGGTCGTAGGAATATGAGGAGAAGGACAAGGCCCTTGAAAATGGACATGAACTTGAAAGCTGGACTATTAAAAGGACCACCTAGTGTGCAATACACTAATAATGACTTTAATTGATGGGTTTGATTCATAAAAAGATAAGACGAATCTTTAAGGGTATTTCTTTTGCTGTTCTTTGAGTTCATTTGGCGCACTTGAGCCGCTTAGAGCAGCAGGCGTGCAAATGTGGAAGCCCGAGGCGATGTCTGCACACACCTGTGCGTTAAAAAAAATTCTGTTTCTTCATCTTTGCAACAAAATATTTAGCCCGAACACACACACACACACACACACGCATACACACACGCATACACAGCAGGTCGGTGTCTTTGTGTTTTTCCAAGTCTTTAATCCAGTCAGTTTCTTTCAAGGATAATAATTCTTGGACGGTCAATTTGTTTGGTGCGTTTCTTGTTTGAAAAGGTAGCATGTTCCATCCTGTTCACGTAATAAATGGGATGAGTCCAAAGTGCCAGTGCTCATGTGAGAGGAAGGAGATAGCAACAGTGCTACTGTGGCGATCTCAGAATATTCAGCCATAACTTTAATCCAGTTGTCTCGAACGTACTTTTAAGGCCGCCGTCATTTGCGCTCTCCAGCAGTTTTATTACTCATTTTGCGAGCTCTAGCGTTTTGTTTTTAAGCGTAATCGGTCACGTGACGAAGAAGCGCGGCTTGACGTGTGTCAAGCGTGACACAGACGGATGTAACGGAGAATCCGGTAATTTTTCAAAATAAAACATCTTTCGTATTCCGAAATAAATAAAACGGAATTAAGGCAAGTTCTTTCTGTGCGGCCCGGTACCAAATGCCCTGCGGACCGGTACCGGTTCTTTATTGATTTCAAAATATTATTTGTTTATTCATATTTATTTAGCTACCATAATTAAAATTTAAACATAAATTGAAAGAACAACACGGAAATGAATTAGTAACAAAGTGAAATAATAATAGACTTTTGAAAGTGCTCTATAAATACAGTTGAGTTGACTTGAGTTGAGTAAATCAATGAGTAACTATAAAAAAAAATAAATAAAAATTAAGACTGGCTGTTCCTGCAGTGCGCATCTTGGCCTCCGAGGGGCCATATGGCGCTGTGCATGCATAGAGTACACACATTAA